GCATTAAGATGATATGATAACGTTATCTTCTTAATGCTTGAAAATAAATAATTGCAGAAAAAAGTCGCTTTTATGTTTTGTATGTCGGTACATTTAAACTATATAATTATACGTTCCACTCCTATCTCTATGATTTTCCAAATCCAATATGTACTTTCAATTGTTTGTCGTGTTAGACCAGTACAGGACATGTTTTCAGGACTGCTGATCGACATTTCTCTCAAGAACACTGCTATTTAGAATAAAATAAACATCAATAAAACATTGACATATTAACTAGTTGCATGAGTGAGGAAGTGAATTGGTTGATTCCGGAGTCCTATTATGTAAGCCCATGAACAACAGAGTGCAAATTGTAATTCAGGCATAAAAGGAAAATCAACTTGCCGATGTGAACTTTATGAGCTTGGTCACGACAAATAAATGTCAGAGGCATGCATTTACCAACAAGCAATGATACTTCACGGGTTTGTTTCATTGTGTTGCTTAATCGCCCGTGAATACATGTACATTTGGCAGCAATTTTGGTGTGATCTCTATTTTTAACTAACGGTTAAGGAGATGCGAGGCTCCGGCGAGAGGGAAACATTTCCTGGTGAGGGACATAATCGCCATGTTTCTCGTTTGACGGCGTATGCAACATATTTTATAGCTTCATGGATGTCTGCTCTACATATTATCAAGCAATGATAGCAATCGCACAAAATACACCCACGGAGTACGGCTCATCGGACTTTCATGAGTCATAAACGGACTCACCTCAATACTTGCAGCTTGCTACTAGTGCGTCACTACCACATGCCATAGAGACCGTACGTTGTCACAGGTGATTGATGATCGTAGTGTCCTTTTCAATACATTTGTTCATTTATGGAAATTTAATACATTTAAAGTAGTTGCTATAAATGTGTTTGCAAATCCGAAAAACAATAATAGCAAATTATCGTCTGGAAAGATCTCATGGTTTCATGTAAATTTTAGTCTGGACACATTTCATGGTTTTATGCAGAATATTCATTAGCTGTGGAGCTTTGGTGGGTAACAAACGCTACATGTTTGAAAATTATTCGAGATTGTTTCTATGGGAACACAAGAAATAAAAAAAATGACGTTGCGTTCCAGATAATTGCACGTATATATCGACGCGCATGCACGTGTGTGTGTGGCTGCTTTTCCTAGTCTGGACAAATGCCGATTTTATATTGCTTGTTTTAAGCCCTTTAATGCCGAGCGCCAGACAGGATAACAACAAGTACCATATTTTAACGTATTTTGGCATGACACATGACATTGAAGTTATTGCTCGGAAAATGATGTGCACTTCGACGCCAACGCCAACGCCAACGCCAACGCCAACCGAGCCAACCCCTTTGTGGGGTTACAAAATTCTGAACGCTCAACATCTTTCTGTACTATCAAATGCAGTGAATACTCATGTCGAGGTCGTGGACACGTAAAATGATGGGAATTGTGTTGTCCTAAAATAAAGAATTCCTACCGTAAAGTTGGTAAATGTGAATCATGAACATGAAATTCACTGCGAATTTCGAGATTACAAATAGTTAGAAATGTGTAAGACGAGATAAATTCCTTTCCATACAGAGGTATACTGTGTAATATCTGATAATAATAAATATATAATTAATATAATACTTGGTTTTAAGTGCTATAAATTACATTGCACCCTCTATATCTTAAACTGGTTTCGGTACCAATTCTTAATTATATATTTTACAGTAAAATAAAGACGTTGTTCTCCACAAATTCTGTCTACTTTGTCATCCGTCAACTTCTAAGAAATGCCTATCAAACAATTCATTCGTTTATACGGCGTGGTATGGGCCGAATTAATCTCACAATGACAATTTCGGGGTGTCTTGCCTACTCGAAGCGCCTGACCTAATTCGGCTAACGTAGCGATAGACCTTTAACGTGGGCGTTCACGTCTCCAGATCATGTCCAAGATGTGTTCTGTAGGGGGAAAAGGTCAGGACTCATGGCTGGCCATTGCATGGTGATGTTTTGCGGCTGGAGGAAGCCAGTTACGATACGTGCCCGTTGGGCAAGAGCGTTATCGTCTTGTAAAACAAAATGTGGACCAGTATAGAGGGCAAACGGCACAACTATTGGTGCACGTATGTTGTCTCGGTTGTTCTGTCCAGGGACCCGTCCTGGGACAATATGTAATGGCGTCCTGACATATCATGAAAGACAAAAAAACCCAACCTTTTGCGTTCGCGTGATTTCGTTCGTCCACGTCTATCCTGAAGGTCCGGAGTGAATCTGGACTGATCTGAAAGCATGACACGAGACATTACATTAATTGAACTCTAAGATCATTGGCGTATGGTTGGACTGTGTCTATTTGTTAATGCAGGTACAGGCGGTCGCGGAATAAGCAATTAATATAAGTAGACGATTTCTAACTCTTGTGGTCTGGCGCAAGTAAATTTGATTGGATGTTTCGGGTCAATTTTTTAACGATCATGGACTTGTGTTGTTGACCAAGGGCCCATGTGCAGGGCCGAGCATTGACATTTTGTCTGCAAAAACCTGTTCCAAAGTCTGCAAATCACAGACTAAGACCCATTGAACAATGTGGCTACCTCTCGCTGAGTTCTACCAGTTTCAGTAGCACCCAGGCGTCCATCACGTTGTAGACGACGCAAGTGCATTCCCAATCTGATCAAAAATACTGCATTACAATAAGAGTATATGACTAACTTTTTACTGCCGATTTAACAAATCTAATAATGCTAATTGCTCAGGACGACGTGATAACCTTCAACTGTAGTGTCAAAATCAAGTTGACCCCCTGCTAGTGCACGGATGAATTGCTTGGTCTAATTGCAATGTCTCTGCTGTACACGATTGTGTTGGGGCATTAAGTTTTGGTTTTGGCAGTCCCTTTTTAAAGCTGAGCTTTCTTTGAGACCGACTATACCATTTATATTTCATGATCGCATAGTTTTGTGGTAGTGTATATTTCCTGACACGTCTGCGGCAAATAGATAGAGGAAGGACGCTAACAGGTTTTGTGTTCTTTCTTGGTTTAAACATAACATCACAGTGTAGCCTGATTCTATTCCTTATGGACCTAACACGCTAAATTACACATTTGAATATTGTGGTAAGGGCATTTTGTGGCCTATCATTGTACATATTATCATTTACATATGTCTACCGACAATGACAAGAAATACTTTTCTGAGACATTAGCTTCCGCGGTGTTCCTGCTGTTTCTATAAGAGGGGATTTATGGTGATTTTATACATCTGACTGACAAATCAAACTCGAGTATTTTCCAAATTCTTGGAAGAATTTTGTTTTAACTACATAAAACTAGAGGAACAGATGTTTACAATGGAGGTATGTCAAATAATCCAAAGTTCTGAACACAGGACAATGTTAAAAAATTATAAAACCCTCTTTCAAGAATAAAATAAAGAAACTCAGCACTTTTTAATAATCTTGACTCTCTTGAACGCAGACTGATTACGAGCTATAACATGTTAATGTAGTTGCATTGCGAATAGTGTCATCGTGTATAATACAATGACCAATCGGCTAAGTCTATGTAATGATGGTTTTACCAACGAGTTTTAAACGTTCATATTAATAAACGGGACTGGTAGAGGTAAATATAAATTGAAGGGAGAAAACATTGTTTTGCCGGCACAAACACATTACTCCGTCGTATTTATATATATATCAGCAGCAGCTAGACCTTTGAATATATGCATTCAAATTAGAAATACAAATTAGAAATTTCACAATATACAACCCCAGCTTTGCTATTGAATTGGTCATGTGACAGACAATCTGAGGTGATAGATCAGTGAACAGATACCTTATATCCTGGTGGACGTATGAAGGTGTGACTCGGAGTGAATCATAAAGTCCCCTGTCGACACCTAACACACCTCTGACAGGATGTAGTAGGACGTGATTGATGTGCTGACGACAAAACGTGGCTATGTCTGAAGTTGTCACTGGTTAGTGTAACTGTTGCCATTATTACTTGTCATATACATGTATGTTTTTCAAGGAATTGGATAATTGATTCCCTAAAATACATCTGGATATTTCATGGTTGATATTTGAGCCTTGACAGATTAGGCATTTCACACAAATTTTGTTTAATAATGTATTTGTTGTCTACAGATAATGTGTTATTTATGGAAAGTAAACATGAAAATGATAAATACTCGAGTACATGTAATGAAGAGTACATTATAAATACATGACCATAAATAACTGATCCTAATTGATAGTTCTATAATTGTATCAATTATACAGTGCTGATTAATCACATATTGGGGTGTCTGATGTGGAGGTGAATATATTATTCATCGTTTATCACATCAAACACCTCAGCTGTGATAGTCATCTTCTACCTTCTATATAACCCAGTCAGTAATGAGTCTGTGGCATCCGAATTCGAGATTCCCCTGAAGGTAAGTGAATCTGTAGATTCTATTCAAGCTCAAACAGTGTTTTGAACGATTCGTCAAAGATTCTGATGAGTAAATATTCTTTCATGAAATTTTTAATTTTGTGTCTATCAATGGCCTTGGGGTTAACAGTGTCTGATTCAGACCTACAGTAATTGACGTATACAAGTCCCCATTTTTCAAACGGAATGTCTATATGCTTATTTGTTTTTCTCATCTTTCTCTGCTTCTTAATTACCGTGTCTAGCAAAAGTAACTGAAAGGAATTTCATTTAAACCAATTCACTTGCCTACAGTTAAATAAATGAACGAATGATTGGTTACATAAAAAAACATTCGCGCTGATATTTATGTTTTGGATTCATAACCAGCTCAACAATGAAAAGAGGCTATTTTTCTGTCCATCCTTTCGCCAGCCCAAAGAAAGTGCTGTCATAGTTTTCACAACACTGTGATTAGTGTTCCAATGCAGATCCACAGGTTTTCGTGCAATTTGTCTAGGGACTCCCATGTTATTAAATAGTGAATGCTATACATCACCAGATGTTTACTTCATTTGACCAGATGAGGCTGCTCGTGGTGTTCCTCCTGATGGCTTTGATTGTTCTCCCAACGGAAGGATTATTCCGTCGTCGTCGCCGCCGCAGATGGCTCCGTATCAGAGGCGGAAAGGTTCTCACTGGAGTTGGCATTGCTGCCAGACTGGGACTGATAGGAAAGAGAGGTAAGACGACGAATATGTGACGTGCATTTGAACAGTGTTTCCTTAGAATTTATGTGGACTCGCATTCTATGAAATTCCTATTGCTATATCAACATACATATTGACAATAGTAGTACATCCTGACTTGATAGGATAATTGCAACCTCATTTATTGTTATGAACTACTATTATGAACTACAACTGTATTTGAAAAGAAAATAGGTCGCAATCTACCAACCATGGCACTGAAAAATGCTTGATTCTGATTGGACAAAATCAGGTATCTAATTGTATTCGATACCTCAGAATTGTCTTGCCTTTTCACGCAGAAACCTTGCATATGACAACATCGATCTATCGATTGCCTACACATTGATGCACATAACAATGGCTGCCGATAAAGAATTATCGAACTTGTATACGTTCGATATCAGAAGAACAGCTTACAAAACATGATGAAATAAATTTCAGAAAACACACTTGTTAAGCAAAACACACAAACCACAATATATGTCAGGGATACAGAATCGGAGATAAAAGTAAGCAGTCTCTCCGACGGTCTTGGTCGTACAATACTGGCTCGTCTTCAGCTTAAAACGGCGGTTATCAGCTTTATTTCAGGGTGGTTCCAATGGCAATGAGGTTTCGGCCATATCCATCGTTAAAGCATCACGTTAATTGTGAACACTATTAAAGGTCCTCTGGGTTCATGTAATTAGTAAATAGAACTGTCACCAACTATTGTTGAAGTCATGAACAGTAAAGAGTAAAGGTAGAATGTCAATTCAGCCATGTCGAAGTTTGGGGTGAAGAGTTAGTCATTCTGTTCTAAATGTGTATTATTGATTTCGGGTAGGTATTTCAGCAAACTGGTACATAGGTACACCTTCAAAATAGTTTTCGTGTAGTTTAATAACGTATATGAGAAACAGGTCAGCCAGATGGAAGATGTCCTTTTGATTTCCAAAAAACGCAAACAATGCAAATATGCAACAGGTGAGGTGAGGTGAATTGGGATTTAACGTCACGTCCAAGATTATTGCACTTATATAACGACGTGCATGTACGTGTATGCTGCTTGTACTAGTCCGGACTGATGCCGATTTATAGTGCTAGCTCACTGAGATACCATGCCGCAGTTTAACATGAATACCCGACTCAGACACAGTATACTGACTTCGAGCCGACCAGTCCTTGCTTTATCCCCTTAATGCCGAGGACCAGACAGGGGAACAACAAGTACCATCTTTTAACATCTTTTGGTATGACGCGGCCTGGGATCGAACCCCGAACCTTCCGCTCTCCGGGCGGACGCTCTACCACTAGATCACGGACGCGGTGCAAATATGCAACAGGTTGCGGCGAAGTTAAATATATATCTTTGGAGGTCTTTTAATCAATTCATGTGAAATTGTTGTTACTTTGTAACCATTATTTTGAACTAGTCAAGAATATATAACGCAACCTATGACTCCTTTTTGGCACGTTCTAAGACAGCTGGCCTGTTGACCCATGACACAAGTGTGCATTCACAAAGAGCACCGTTTTGAAATTGCTCTTGTCGTCTTGGAAGATTCAGATATACCTATTGTGTTTTGAAATTAAAATTAAAGGTTTGTAATCTACAGTTAAACTACCTCAAATTTTAAAACACATTAGTTTTATCTCCTAACTGTATCTGCATATTTAGTGGTAAGGGTTACTATTCTGCATTTGGAAAAAGAAATAGAATTCACTTTACCAGCATGTATCTTAAATATCTGTATCATTGTTTTGAGATTTCAACACAAATTGTACTGCAACAAATTCCATAAACGACATTCCTTCATACCATTCATGCAATGAGTTTTTTATGTAATCCCGAGAACAGGAAAACATGTGTTATTTATGTGTTTGATGAGACTGTTAAGGACTAAAAACACATTGATCTGTTAGCGAATGTTCTCATGGAAACTGTCACATATATTCCAGATATACAAAATGACCTTGCCACTGTTGATCTGAATGAGGATGGGAACATTGACCAATCAGAAGTTGAGAACCTATTCGACAAACGCGATGCGGAACAAATCCTGCAAATGGTTGACATGGACGGTAAGTACAAAGACAGCAGAGGTATAGTTTATACATGCCATGTGTATGATTTCCAATTGTGATTGACGTAAAGAGAAATAAGGACGATTCCTGTTATCATGACATGACCAGTATGTATCCAGATCACATAGTCGCCATGACAATTGTAATCATTTAAGCTTTTGGTTATTCTAAAGCTGCAAAGTTATGAGTTGGATTATAAGGCTGGTCTCTTTCATTTATTATAATAATAAGAGGGCACGGGTGGCCAAGTCGTCTAAGGCGCCGCGATCAGCTGTGCGTCCCTTGGGCACGCCAGAAACCTATGATTGTGGGTTCGAATCCCGTTTCGCCCCGATTATGTTTCTAGGTTTGTCAACAACATACCCGTGCTCGTGCGTTTAACCGAAGTGGTAAACGTCTGAGACCTGCATCAGTTCAGGCTTTCCTCCCACGTTAAGCTGACACGCCGCGATATTACTGGAAAACTGTTAAAAGCGGCGTTAAACCAAACTCACTCATAATAACGCGATGTTTCGTCATGATGTGTTTCAGGTGATTCAGTCGTTAGTCACGATGAGTTCATCCGAGGAGTGGAAGACCTTTTCTCTCAGGGTGGGTGATCAATAATTGATCGTTAATCGAATGCAACTCACAATATTGACAGTATCGGTTTATCTCACTCAGATGAACACTACCATGCTAACTCTCACTCATTTCCCGATGAACGTCAGTATGTCGTGTGAATATGAGAGAAACAGAAATAGGGTAATTAGGGAAGGTATCATCACACGGCAATTCCTTTTAGACAGATTGTGCATGTATGGCGCGTCACCGAAATGAAATTTCCATTCGAAGTTATAACAGAGAATGCTCTACTTACTAAAAGAAATGACTAAGCTCCACACTGTTTTGTATTGCATCAGGAAATCCAACCGCGCCGCCTCAAGTGGTAATCCCCGTCATCTAGCCTTAGTATGACTCAAACACACACCCGGGGATCACATAACTTTCATATTAATCTATTTTCAGCATCAACCGGGTCTGGATTTCAATCCAATTCCAACTTTACCTCGTTAATATATTTCGATTTTTAAAAGATTAGTTTTGAGTTTAAATGTATTGCTTTGTAATGAATTATGTATATATAGATTTATGCTGTCTTTCAAAATAAGGATCGAAGTTGTATTTGTTGACTTTCATCAGTACTGTTGATGAAGACAGTGCCTCCATGAAAATATTTATCCTGAAGCCCTTCGCGCATCATGGAATTTGCTCACGTGAGGCACTGTCGTTATCACTTGATGACCATCAATAAATACAACTTCAATTCTGAATTATGTGCCATATGTTATTCCTCCCATGATGATTAGTAAGACTTAGGCATCTCTTTATCACGTGTGCTTTTTTTGGTTTCAGATGCTGAGTAGATACCTTCAAAACAAGGCATTAAGATGATGTAATATGATGCTTGAAAATAAAAAATAGCAGAGCAAAGTCGTTTGTATTTGTATGTCCGTACATTTAATCATCTTCCCTAGGCAAGGGAGTTAACTAACTATGAAAGTCCAGTTCCAATGTGAAAACTGGATTGTTCAGTCTGTTAACTCCCTTGCCTCGGGAAGATGACATTTAACATAAATTATGTTCCACTCCACTCTCTATAATCTCTGTGTTTTTCCTGTTATATCTGTATAAGGTGATCATACATTACTGCCAAGAACAAGAGAGATTACACTGCTGTTTAGAAATCACAGTATTCTGCATTGGAGCCGACCAGTAAATTTTCATCCCATTGCCATCTTTTAACGTCGTTTTGTATGACGCGGCAAGGTTATCGAACCACCGACCTTCCTTTCTCAGATTGTCACACTATTCAATAGCAATATCTGATGAAGTAGCACCACAGCGCTACAAGTGCAAGTTATATGCACATTATATTTGACTAATGGGAATGTGACAACTGATCAAGAGATATTGGACATAATATCGTTTGAATGATTACTCTTAAATGTTACGCTGCTTTGCTGCCAAAACGCATATTTCTATACTTGTGAGATAATGAAACAGGAATCATCGTTGTGGTACAACAGATACATTATTTCGGTAATAAACGATACAGAAAGAAATTAGGCTCGGACTGTTGATATACACTATGTCAGCACTCGTCAAACCCAGAAGAAACCCTCGTCTCAGTCTCAGAAATGTGCTACTTTAATAGTGTCGTGTGTATATATTTTATATCAAAATCCACTATTTCGAGAACATTTGGTGGTGAACAATATCTTTAAAAACATTAGTACAGATTGACCGACTCTAGACCTTGACGGTAACATGTGTATGTTGCCAAAAGACCCAGACATAATACATTGAGCTTTAGGCTGTATGTTGTAAGACACGACCCATTTTACTCAAATCAAGGATCCGTAAGTGTTTGGCAACATGGTTTTGGATGCGGCGGTTCATAGATGTCAGTGTACTGTGTTTGAGTGGAATATCAATCCTGCGGCATGGTATGTCAGTGAGATAGAACTATAAATACCGACTTTAGTCCTGACCGGTACAAGACTACACGCACGCACGCACGCACGCACGCATATTTTTTTTTAAACCAGTACCCTTTCTGGCTTACAATCTTCATTCCATTTTGAGATTTCACTTTTTGATGAAATACAGTATACATATAAGGAGGTAAGAGGTACAAGGAAGATATCTATAAATAGATGTAAAATATATTGTATGACTAAGGGCCAATCAGAAATAGCGACATTCATTGTAAATGGTAAATTTGTGTAACCGGTCGATCGGTAGCAGCCGGTATAGCAACATCACAAGTAGAACTGATATTAAACGAAGAACGGATGAGGGAATATGGTATCTGCCGATAGTACTGTCGCGGAATGAGGTGGCATGGTTTTGTGACAAAGCTAAACGTACGCTTCCGGTTCGCCACTTTCAGGACAGAGGAATACCAAGGAATCAGAGAACAGGATACAGAGAATTGCTCCCGGCCCCGTGCCACAAGGCCATCTTAACACCAAGGTGATCGAAACTCCCATATTTTAGCATAGGCTTACTATAGTCGTAACGCTTTGCGCAACGGGGTAACAACAAGTTACGACACCAGAGGTTAAGATTCTGTTTAAACCTACTGTTCGGAATGGAGTTCCTGAAGAGAGCATTTCAAAAGCGCAATAATCGCTGTAAATCATCGACGCCAACGTTAGCCATTGACTGAACAACACCGGGCAGGGGTTCTCCGCCAATAACGTTTCGCTTTCTTGTTTGAAGATTAATGAAAGAAAAAGGTCTTTAAATAACCGAGTCTGGACCAGACAATCCAGTGATTGACATCATGAGCATCGATCCACGCAATTTGCACCGATGACATGTATCGACAAAGTCAGCAAGCCTGACCACCCGACCCCTTTAGACGCCTCATCCGACAAGCACAGTCGCCTTTTACGGCAAGTATGGGTTGATGACGACCTATTCCGGCCCGGATCTTCACTGGCCAAGATATGTTATAAAGCGGTTCCTTCAATATCAAGCCGTATATCACTAAGACTTCGTATTTGGAAGTTTCACGAGGCATTTGATGAATATGTACCAAAGACCTCTGATCAGATTACAAATTGTTATATTCATCGTTATATTTTGGAAACTAGTATGCACTCTTGAGTCCCGTGGGGTTCAGTTCTCTATTCATTTTGATCTTCACAATCAATAATCCAGGTGATGACATATGTACGTCAACAATCTGTCCACAAGGAACAAAGGCACTGTTGTTAACCTTAACACACATCTATTTCTGTACAGGACATAAACGACAAACGATCCATGATGATATTTTACATATTTCATACAAAACATTTCAAAGCCTATAAAATGTTCAAAACTTTTCCATGTAAAAAAACCCTGATTGACAGTGTCATAGATTACAACAAAATGAAAGAACAGAATAAATGCAATTAGAAGTCTGAATTATGACGATTTCATCATCGATTTGTTTATGTTCCTTGTTTAGAGGGGACTAACACAATATATATGTATGTTGACCGTTGAACTACGATGAAACCCTCCTCTGTTACCATTTCTTTGCCAATAGATTGTGCATGTATTGCTTGTCAAAGGTTTATCAATCTCCGAAAAAGAAGTATTGCGTTAATATCAACCCAAAGCACCCGGGTATTGATTTCATCCAGACATGAATATGTACATATATGTACAGTAAACCCAGAGGTAATTTGTGGCCAGCTATAACCTGGCAGGTAGAACGTCTATATTTTTTCTATATCTGTTATTTGAGGAATGAGCCTGGGACCATTTTGGGAAGATGTCTTTGCACGATAATAGAAAGCAAATTTAATCATGGCGACAAAGTGGTAAACGTCTGAGACCTGCATCACTTCGGGCTTTCCTCCCACATTAAGCTGACACGCCTTCATATAGCTCGAATATTGTTCAAAGCGAAGTTAAATTCGACTCACTAACTGGTCTCAGCAAGCGTCGAAACTAAAAACCCATACTAAGATGAAGAAGGGTAAAGTGCCCCCGTGCACATTCATTGAAGCGCCAGTAAAATAATAAATTCATCACGTTTTTGCTTTTTACGCCCATAGGAATCCGCAGATCGAGACTGGTTATGCTCTGGCGAGGCCGTTTTAATTTAACACCAGCTGCAGCATGGCTATGACATTGTATTACGAGAAATGAATCAAATACAGCGTCGCATAGTCTTTTATTACGTGAAATACGTACATCTAATCCTGTTGTTTAATCTTTTTTATTTCTAAACGGTATATTTATTGGTTTAAGTGATATTTTTGGATTATTATATGGATGCTTCAATCATCTGTCGGTTCAGTCTACTTTACATTTGTTACACTGCAAAGTGTCATTGTGTCCACTCTTCTGTTAGTGAGTGAGTGAGTATGGTTTTACGCCGCTTTTTTAGCAATATTCCAGCAATGTCTCGCCGGGGGACATCAGAAATGGGCTTCATACATTGTACCCATGTGGGCAATCGAACCTGGGCTTTCTGCGTGACGAGCGAAAGTCCCCTTTTCTGTTAAATATATAGCCTACAAAATATGCGGATATTATGATACTCATTGGTCCATTAAGGACATGCTGTAAACACAACACCAGATAGTCACTTACATTGGAACCACGTTTACAGAACCTGACAGACAGACAAGCGATTTGTTGCCGGACATTACAGTTACGCTAGTGACCTGTTAGCTAATTGTTTGTTTGTTGTTTAACGCGGCACTCATCCATATTCCGGTATTTGACGGCGCCCTGTTAGTCTCTATCACAAACGACAGAGCATATACTAAGTATTCAATACACCATCCACCCCAAGTTCTCTCTCACCCTTTCTCATCTTTGGCAGCCTAAACTTATTCCCCTCCAAGCCCTTGTATCCCCAGCTCCTGAAATCAAGATATGTGAAATTTCATCTAATGCTCTTGATTTCCCCTGTGTAAATGAGCTTTACTTCACATTAGACATAACTTCAGTTCAGTAGGTGGTTCGATCCCCGTTCACGTCATATCAATAGACGTTAAACCATGGTACTTGTTGTTACCCTGCCTGGCGCTCTCTCGCTCGACAGGAAGGGGTAAATCAAAAGCTGATCGGCTTGGGGTCAGTTTACAATGTCTGAGTGGGATTTCCATGTTAAACGGTGGCATGGTATCTTGGTTGTCAAGCACTGTAAAAGCGGCATTACAAGTCCGGACTGGTACAAGCAGCCACACACACACGGGCGTGCACATATAAGTGTACTAACATGAACGCGACGTTAAACCATATTTCACCTCAAATCACTCATTTTTATTTTTACATCGAAACCGGACATTCCTCCAGATAAAAGAGCGACGGATACAGAGGTAATAACGAACATCGATACGTATGTTAATCTGTATTCATTTTAAACTATTTTTTCAAGAATTACAAATCACAATTTGAATTAAATATGATACAGAGCAAGGAAGTTTCGTGTACAACCAATAAAGTGCAATATGGGTTTTACACTTTAACGGGACGGCTGATGAATGAATAGCCCCGAGTCTTCCTTTGTTATATCCCACTGGTGACAGTGGGACAGGGTAAGTGCACCTGTTCTCGTATTATCCCTATTTGATAGTAATTCATAAACACAGTCATGCTAATGATAAGGTCGGAATCGTACAAGGATCTCTGCTTTCGGGAGATATTTCTAAATTAAATGATGATGGAACAATTTTCGTTTCATTTATTGCTGGGGACACGGGTGGCCCAGTCGTCTGAGGCGCCGCGATTCGCTGTGCAGAGTCGCGTCCCTTGGGCACGCCAGAAGCCTATGATTGTGGGTTCGAATCCCGATTCGCCCCGATTATGTTTCTAGGTTTGTCAGCATCATACCCGTGCTCGTGGGTTTCACCGAAGTGATAAACGTCTGAGACCTGCATCACTTCGGGCTTTCCTCCCACATTAAGCTGACACGCCGTGATATAACTGGAATACTGTTAAAAGTGGCGTTAAACCCAACTCACTCACTCACTCATTTATTGCTATAACACACGGGCAACTAAAGTCTCGGTTGTGTAATGCATAATGTGCATTCTTGGGTCAAAGTCGTGGGTCACAGTTATTCATGTCCTCGCTGGAGAGCTGGAGAGTATCCGCGTCCACGCAGTACAAGAGTAGGGAAGTACGAGGAAACAACTTGCAAGCGGAGACAGCCTCCCTCATATCAGTACTCATTGTGTGGATACGATTAGCATGATGAAACCCGGACACAGAAATGACTTCGAAATTAATTCGATACACGTTTAATGGCCGTTTCCGGGTTACGATTTAATCATCACATCATACACGCACGGAAGCATGACGCCCATGTGATACAATCATGTACACTCTTCCGCTTAAGCTGACGTGAGGGAAGAAAGATAATTCTATGTGTAATGCAGGCTATATCCTTCGTCGCAGTCTTCATTTCCTGAAGATATCTCATTTGTCCATATATTTAAGAATGTTTTCGTATGTGGATGAACATACTTGCCTTTTTTGTTATTGGTATGAGAAATGTACATGGGGATCTGGGGGTATGGGGACGGGTACTCGTCGGGAAGACGTAAACAAAATTTTAAAAGAAACTTCATTTTTGTCTCATATATGTTTAATGATATGCGTACATATAATAACTATATAATTATGAAAATATTTTTCAAGTATTCCTATCTGTAAATCATTACTCTAAACATGTTTAGGATACTCGTCATCAACCATTTGAGTGAGTCACGACCTACCCTAGGGCGCTTGCTCTCCTCGCCAAAGGGAGAAGGGCAGGGTACCATTCTAGCTGTAACCGACCTATTTCAACCCATACATTTCGCTGCGGTGAAACGTTCACCCATTTCCGTAACGCGGGTCTGCCTGTTGAGAGGGACGGGGACAGGCGTACAGCATATCGCTATGCGGGAAACGTTGACCCGTTTCCGTGTAGGGAGATATTAACACTTTTGGACAGTGTGAATAATTGATGTGTCAGGCTACACGGGTAAACATATTACCATTAGGGATGTAACTCTCGTAGAGAAGTATAACATCAACTAGTAGATATGCTTCAATATTCTTTGTGTCGTGTTGATCCTGTGGAGTATTATATAATATTATATATGTTCGTGTCGTACGTTTTCTAATATTTCTAGCCTTACAAGTACATATGGGAGTGGGTTTTCCAACGCCGCTAGTGACAATAGTGCATGTTATAATGTATCAACGGGAACACAGCCCAGTGTAACAGAATGTGGATATTAAGTATATTTACGTTAAACCCATGGCCATGAGTATTGGATGTCGTATAAAGGTTTTAAACACATTAAAATTTAAACACATGAAAGGGGCAGGAATCTCATTAGATACACACGATATTCCTAAATATACGCGTTTGGAGCCTAAAATTGCTCAGAAACAAAACCCTTAGGAATCTGAAACATTGAGCTAATGCGTTGCAACACAGTGTGTTTCGGATTTGTTCTTGCTAGTAATATAAAAGATAATTTAAAATCCAATTTGACTTTTGAAAACTTTAAGAACCAATTTTTAGAAACCACAAGGACAGAACAACATTGATGGATGGATGTCTAGTGGCTTAACGACAAGAATAACCTTTCTCGATTATCCGCTGAAACAGTTTCCATTGGGCCTAAAAGGCAAAATAGTCGTGAGATGATATGAATGGATGACACCAGTGTTCGCGAAAAGAAAAAGCATGCCCTGCACTTACGTTTGCACCCGCCCTGTTGAGATGAAGTGAACATGTAGTATTTGCATCTCCAGGGGAACCACAAATCCATATATCCGTATTCAAACTCGTATATCTATTATATAACAGAAGGGGGCACGGGTGGCCCAGTCGTCTAAGGCGCCATAATTAGCTGTGCGGAGTTACGCCCCTTTGGCACACCAGAAACCTTTGGTTGTGGGTTCGAGTCCCGGTTCGCCCTCATTACGTTTTTATGTATAAATACCTGTGCTCGTGGGTTTCACCAAAGTGGTAAACCGCTGAGACATGCATCACTTCTGGGTTTCCTCTAACATTACATGCCGTGATATAACTGGAATACTGTTAAAAGCGTCGTTAACCCCAACTCACCCACTCATTCATAAGACAGAAACAGACGAAACGAAAGTGACACCTTTAGACACCTTCATACACGAATCATTGTTAGCCAGTATGACACCGGGTATTCGTGGGTCAACAAGCAACCAGGATGCCAGTACAAGCCCCCACCTGGTGGTATAGGCGACTATATGGATCGTGTGGTCAAGTTCTATGACTTGGCTCCTCTCGTGTCATCTTACAGTTGTGCACGGTTACTCAGAAAACTGTATGACTGTATTTCGAGATATGCTTTGGAGATTTGGATTTTGTGATGCTTGGCTTGTCCCAACATTAGAATAAGCAATTGTTTTGCGTGACGTTTAAGTAGCGAATTTGAGATATTGACAGGCAAAACTGGAATATGAACTTAAATATGCTGAGTAAGAAAAGGATGTGCATTTGAATCATTGACAATAAAAACATTGAAAAATATCGAATTTTATATACATTAAAAAATATGGAACCGCATTGACCCCTTTTAGATTGAGTTTCCACGGTCTAATGATAGGACGAGCAGATAGGGACGACCCAAATGAGATTTCGTAGATAGGCTTTATCCCACTTGTGGCACATATATAGAGGATGAATTTGATGTATTGTTGGTCTACCCATTGCGAATTAAGTACAGGTCGACATAATAAAACTGGAATGATGTTGCGTGCGGCGTTAGACAGCAAACAAACACACAAACAATGAAATGCTTCCCTCTGTGCAATAACATTCGATAAAAAACTATCTAATCAGTGAATTTCACGTACCATAAGTATTCTATTTATTGCAACATGATTTTGCCATATATAGTAATAATTGGCAGTCACAATGCGCGTGATGATAAATGCGATGGCTTCCTTGTTTTGCGGCCTGTTATCAGCACATTTCAGACAGACTCGTTTCCTTGTGGCCAGTGTAGTATCTGATTCATTTGCACGACAATGTAATGTCTGGAGTCACGATTAGCATATCACAATCGTGTCCCGTTACAGCAACTTAGTAAGCCTTCCCCATACGAGTTTACTGAGAATGAATGTTAATAGTATTAGATACAGGCGTGAATACAACACTGGGTGTAGTTGTACACTATGGTGTAAAGCTTGATAAAGTGTAACATTGGTATGTGGTGGGCGTGAAGGAATCCCCTGCAGCAATAAGCATTACAGCAAAATACTGTAGATCTAGAGAATAAGCTCAGTGAGTGAATATGGTATTTCGTCGCTTTAAGCGATACTCCAGCAATATCACGGCGGGGGACACCAGAAATGGGCTCTACACATTGAACCCTAGTGGAGAATCGAACCCGGGGCGTGACGAGGGAACGCTTTAACCACTAGGCTACACCGAAGCCCCCGAATAAGATTAGTTTAGATGGGGTAAGGGGCGGTCGGGTAGCCTAGTGGTTAAATCGTTCGCTCGTCACGCCGAAGACCCGGGTTCGATTCCCGACATGGGTACAATGTGTGAAGCCCATTTCTGGTGTCCACCGCCGTGATATTGCTGGAATATTGCTAAAAGCGGCGTAAAACCATACTCACTCACTCACTCACTTAGATGGGGTAAGATTCTTGAGAATAACCAAGCCGCAAGGAATTGTCGATGCTGTGAATACATGTATAAATGGGAGGGGCTTACATCAAGCACACATATATAACCTGAAGTAAGAATGACAAATACAGTTTTTGGTATGAATGCCCGACCTACAGTTTCTCCCACTGTGATGTAACCGTATCGTCATCATTTTGTAACGTCATGAACAATGGATGGCGATTCAACGATGTACAAATTATTATAGTCGATCTTTTAACCGTCACTTGTTTATCTTCGATGTACCGTTATATGTGGTGGAGTGGGTATGGTATACACTGTCTCGGTGGGGTATGAAGGTTAAAACTACGGAATGGTATCTCAATGGGGAATCATTATATCACCAGCTTAAGTACGGATTAGTACAATCAGATACACACACACACATGCATGCACGAAGGTATCATCATCATCATCATCATCATCATCATCATCATTATTATTATTGTAAACGTACTCGATGTAATTAAGATATTTGTAAATCAGGCAAAACACTCTTTTTATATATCCAGTAGTGTTAAAAAACATAATGTTTCAATGCCTCTGTTTGTAAGAGAAAACATTGGTTGAGAGTTTTAAAACCATCAGTGTCGTTACGGACAGATACCAAGTCTTCCCTCATTCAGTTTATTCTTGCTTAATACTACAGTGAAAAATACAAACTATCTCATATGTGTATATATTTTTTTCAAGGTGAACTGTATTTCAATGGTTATACCTATATTAACAATCTTGCAAAGGTGACGAACCAAAACATTTCAATGTGGACCTATAAATCACGTGACTGCCACTGACGTCGAATATTGACTCGTCACGTGATCATTATTGTCACGTGATGAATACTGATCCGTGCGCTTGAAAACAAGATGGCGTCTGATACTACAGTTTGCAGCTAGGTTACTGTGATGAAAGACTTACTGTTTAAAGACTTAATAAACTTTAAACACATGCTAGTATACGTGTATATGGCCTCGGTGACCTTATCCATAGCACATCCGGTGGTTACAACAACAATCTTAGGTAATAGAGTCGTATCAGAAGTACCCGGATGAATCCCTTGAAAAAAGGCAAATTACCAGTTCCTTGTATGCAGTCACAGAGGTAATACCATAGGGTTCCAAATATGTATCTGAAACTTTCGGGAAACGTTCTTCGCACATTTACTGCCCAGGGTCTGCTCTTTCCGCAAATCCCACACCGTTTGGGGTTTTCGATATTGGTCTTGCGGTATATGTAAGGGGATAGACCGATGGACAGTTAAAAATCACCGAAACGTTTGATGTTTTTCGCAACATTAAATAGGTATATATTGAAGTTGGAAAACTTATTGAACGCCCCTCGTATCTAAATTGGTCGCAACGTTTCGACCACTATGCTACTTTCCGCACACACAAGAGTGAAGAATTGCGTAGATCGATGCTCATGATGTCAATCATTGTCAGGACCAGACTTGAACATGTACAGACATCCGTCATGTGGCTGGAATATTGCTTAGTGCAGCTTTAAACAGCTTTGAACAATATGTCTGTTATATCACGTGTCAACGTGATGTGGGAGGAAAGCCCGAAGTGGCGCAGGTCCTAGACGACCCACATAAGAATGGGATTCGCAAGGTTGCATAATTAATGTGTCTACAGTCCTATGACTAATTCCAGTGTGACAAGGAACTGAAATAATGTTCAAAGCGGCGTTAAAAGCAACTTACTCACTCTTTGCACATGGGCAAATCTGAACCAGGACTACTGGGTTTCCTCACAAGCGAACAAGCATCTAACTGTGTGTCATAGAACGTTGCCAAGGACTGGACAGACCTGGCTGGTGTTTTCAATATTGGCTTCTTTTTTATTTGCGGTTTCTCTTTGACAGTTTTAGCCTCCTTTCTGTCCCGGATGTGACGGGGGATGACAATGTCAGCAGCTTCATATGCAGGTCCAACAGCAGTAGCCATAGAATACACTTGTTCAGCATCTTCAGTTTCCTTTACAGTTTCGGGATTACTGAAACATTTTTGAAATGGAACAGCCTTTTGTTTGTGCTCAGTCTCTCCTATGCGAGACAACGGTAGCGTCGGGATGTCATATATCTGAGACGTACTTTCCTGTGGCGGCATTATGGTACCTAATGCATACACGAGATGATTGTCATCCTGATTTAGTTCATCGCCAAGAGATAGGTTATCCTCTTGAAATTCTAATCTGATCCCGGCATTGTTAAAATAATAGTTTTCATCTGTATCAAAATCGGCTTTTTCTTCATCGGAACTGTCGTAGTTCACGTCAGTTTCTGATGGCTGTGTGGCATGACCAGGTCTTTGTATCGTGGCTACGGAATAAATCTGTTGCGAGACCCTCGCAACGTCATATTCATTCCTCAATTGTGGTTGCACCTGTGCTGAACCAAGAATGTTGTACGTAGAACTTGCTGTCGTTGTAGATGGCAACACAGCTTCTTGACTTTTGGGAACGACAACCTCATATCGATGGTTGAGGACTTTAGGCTTAGGTTTGTGGTTCAGGTGGTTATAGCCATAGTTGGTATTGTCTTGGCTGGTATTCATCGTGTTGCTCGATTGGCGTCCTAAGGAGGAGGTATGATCATACACACCCGGGGCGTTACCAATGTGATCATATCTGTCTGTCCTTCTCTGGCCAGATGTTGGCCCGTTACTCTCGCCTGGGTCTTCCACGCTTGCATAGGCGTAGGCGTCGGCGTCGTCAAGGTCGAGCTCCACGCCGTATTCGCTGTGATACCTAGCAACGGGATTCCTGTAGAGTGTGCGTCGTTTCGGCACCAGCCGCGGCAGTTTTAATCCTCTGAAAAAACACATCGAATAGTTCACGTCTTATAATGGAGGTTGATTACAGAGATAGAAATCTCGTTTCGAAAAAGGACGATTCAAATATTTATCTCCGTAACAATGTTACATATTGTAAAGCTATTGTCCATTAACCAGTATTTTAATTCTATTAATGCGCTGGCGATACTGAACTTACACCATAGCAAGTAAAAATGACGCAAATATAGGTAATAATTATTTATCAAACATGGAACACTCCAGTCTGTTGATTTCACCATATTCTTATGATATCCCCATTAGGTACATGTATGTGGCTGCATTGAAAAATACTTCAGATACAACAATAGGAACAATACGAATCTGTCACAGAATGGTGTGGAATACATATTGTAACATAATTAATAACTTTCCGAATTTTCGAATCAAATGTGCATAATATCATTGCCCTTCTGTTATATATGTAAATGTCAAAGTGTAAAATGTGATTCATTTAGGAAATGTACAAAATGCCTAAATATTTCAGCCACTTCACAGACAGACTGACATATCTTTGGACGTATTGACAAAAGTATATTAAGAGTTCAAAGGGCTTAAAACATCCCAATAGACTTATTATCCTAGGAACAGAAGCAGAACAAAAACATATACATTTAATTTGTGTTTCGTTTAATCCTATCATTTTCAGTCACTAGGTGAAAAAACATGTTTGGAATTCATTATCATAATAAAATAAATAGACAGATGTTTCAGTCAATTCGTATTTTGTAATAAATTTTGGAAATGTGAGTCATTTTATACACTGACTGTAACATATATAAGTGTAACACAGTGGTCACCAGGGGACAAGGTTCTTGACTCATGAGGTTCCATTGTAATCCAAGTAGGTCATGCTTCTTTTAAGAGGCGACGTAAAATGTTTTTGCTTGTTTGTTTGTGTGTGTGTGTTGTTTAACGCCGCAATATTCAAGCTATATTCTTAATCTGATGGACAGGCTCTTTGGATAATAACCAGGATAATTATATGTCATCGCACCCAGATGGATAGGATCAATGTCATGCATGCAGTGACGTCTATATCTCGTACAGGTTCGATTATCAATGTGGCACCGATATCTTGCTGTATTGCTCTGTGTGGCAACACACAACATTCACTCACTCACTATGGATACGTACCTGAACCACATGCAGTACATGAGTAGAACGACAACACACAACATTCACTCACTCACTCACTATGGATAAGTACCTGAACCACATGCAGTACATGAGTAGAACGACAACACACAACATTCACTCACTCACTCACTATGGATACGTACCTGAACCACATGCAGTACATGAGTAGAACGACAACACACAACATTCACTCACTCACTCACTATGGATACGTACCTGAACCACATGCAGTACATGAGTAGAACGACAACACACACCGCCGCAACGATTGCTACAGCGCCCTGGACGGCGGCTCCACCTGCAAATTAGAAAACGTTAAGTTACTTTTTAAATAATATATGCTCGACAATATGTTTCTGTTTACTTTACAATGGAGGAAGTATCACGCAGAAAATGTAGTGATTTTACAATATATCAAAAACAAATTAAATTATTAAGCTGAAAGCAGTTATGCGGTGTTTAAAGTCATCTTCCCGAGATATTAAAATAGAAAGGTAATTCGAACCAGATACGAACCAGATACTGGTTTCTCACATACGTGCTATGTGTACAGCCCGTTTGTTATGACCTTTAGTCATGGTATTCACAAATTTGGGGTGCCGCGTCCGTGGTCTTGTGGTAGAGCGTCCGCCCGGAGAGCGGAAGGTCCGGGGTTCGCTCCCCGGCCGCGTCATACCAAAAGACGTTAAAAGATGGTACTTGTTGTTACCCTGTCTGGCGCTCGGCATTAAGGGGCTCAAACAAGGACTGGTCGGCTCGGAGTCAGTATACTGTGTCTGAGTGGGGTATTCATGTTAAACTGCGGCATGGTATCTCAGTGAGCTAGCACTATAAATCAGCATCAGTCCGGACAAGTACAAGCAGCCACACACACACACGTGCATGCACGTCGCTATATAAGTGCAATAGTCTTGGACGCGACGTTAAACCCAATTTCACCTCACCTCACCTCACAAATAGGGAACAAGGAAGCTTTCATAGGATCGGTTAAAATAAATGAGATGCATGAACCGAAACTTGTTCATGGCATTCTAAATGTATCTATTCAAAATCAGAACTAAATGTAATGTCAGCATTATATAACCGATTAGAGTTAAATGTGCCGTTTTAATAAGCATTGATGTGATCAAAAGTCAAATCTCTCTTAAAAACTGCTATAAATCTCTAATTGGGAATGGCAATAACCAGATAATTTATTAACAGGGATTAGAGTTCATTGTGCCATTTTAATGTGTATTGACCGAATCAAAAATCAAATCTCTCTTCAACATTGCTGTAAATAGTATAGTAACCGAGTATGACAATAACCAGATATTTACCAAAACCTTTTCACCGAACAAAATTAGAACCACTCAGAATAAATCTCCCACTGAATCAATACACAACCGAAGTTCAACACCACTACTCCTTGAATCATCAAAGCAGAGGAGACTTGTGAATTAATGTGCTTCTAAAATGTTTTGTTTATATATATCATGATCACAGTTAGTTTTGTTTTAGCACTATAAAATCGTTAAACCCCATTTCAGCTCACCTCACTTCTTTGAGTAAAAGACTCCGATATGAAATAATTCATCTCACCTGTGGTTGCAGCTACCCTGAGAGGGAACATCATGAGCGAGGTAACACCTACACGGTATATACACTACATCACAGCGGTTTCTGGCGGGTATACATTGAGTAAACGTGTAATGAAACCGTAACTTATGTTACTGGGCACATTGTTAAAGGCGGAAACAAAAATGTTCGTAGCAATTTCTTGTTTCGAATTGTTCTTTAAACTTCCTTGTATAAACTGCGTCCCCGTTAACGCTGATACAACGTCAAGTAAATGTAAATGAAGTGGTTTCAGTACATTCGGGATGTATAAATGAATATAATTTAAGTTAACGCAGACTTAATACATATGAACGCCGATTGCCATTCACTTATTTAATTATTATATTTTAATAACTGCCATTTAATGCTAGCTTATCGGGTGATTTTTGCATTATATTCCCTTTCAGACTTTGAAATGTTTTGGGTATGCTTGTATTGGTCTTTATAGCTGGTGGCGGAAATAAGAATTAATATACAATAATTATAATCAAGGGAACACCTTTTCGCGGAATTACGGTATGCTGTACAGGGATCCAGAAGGTTTGCACATACAGGCTGTGTTACAACGTGGCCACGTTCATGAATCCTCAATACAACACGATAATGTTTTTTACCATCTTCTAATCATGATAGTCATGTGGTAACATCCTCTTTCATACGTGGTTTTATAGGAAAGGTGTCAAAACAGTCCTGCAACATCAATAATGATGTCACAGCAAGTGTTGATGAGTTTCTGGCACTTTATAGTCAGGCATATGCAATTACACGTTTAAAAACGTGTACTTCAAGTGTACTACACGAGAAATAGGTTCCCAAATGAGTGGACCGCCTCCGTGGTCTAGTGGTAGAGCGTCCGCCCGGAGAGCGGAAGATTCAGGGTTTCGATCCCCAGCCGCGTCATACCAAAAGACGTTTAAAGATGGTACTTACCCTGTCTGGCGCTCGGCATTAAGGGGCTAAAGCAAGGACTGGTCGGCTCGGACTCAGTATACTGTGTCTGAGTGGGGTATTCGTGTTAAACTGCGGCATGGTATGTCAGTGAGCTAGCACTATAAATCGGTACCAGTCCGGACTAGTACAAGCAGCCACACACACACGTACATGCACCTCGCTATATAAGTACAATAATCTTGGACGCGACGTTAAACCCCATTTCACCTCACCTCACCACCCATATGAGTGACTGAGTGAGTAAGTAGGGTTTTACGGCGTTCTTAGCAATATTCCAGCAATATTCCAGCAATATCACGGCGGGGGACACCAGAAACGGGCTTCACACATTGTATTCCCATATGAAGCACGAGTGTCTCCGTGATGGGTTTCAGCAATTTGGAGCAATTGGCAGTAGTGACGTTCTACCAGAAAGATTTGTGTTTTGTGTTTGTTTGTTTCTTTGTGTTTTGTTTAGCGCTACACTAATCAATATTCCATTAATATGTGATTGTTGTCTGGAACAATCAAGAAACCCGTGAACCAACTGACCGACCAGATCCATTTATTCACCTCTTTCGACAAGTACCAGCGACTGCTTATCTCACCAGGAATCCCAACAGACCAAGGTAGGGTGAACACAGGAAACTACTTTAGAAATAATGATAGATTAATGAAATACACAAATGACCTTCATTACACAACGTTGAAACGATTGACTGGACCGTTAAAACATGATACACAGACCCTCGGTCAGGAAGACGCTCCAATGTGATAAATCCTGATATGAAAGCTGCTGTGAGAAGATGACAATGAATGCTTGATGGGCTGTGGCACAAGGTCCTGAATTTGAGGGTTCAGTGGGTAGGATGGATAACATCTTTCAGTGAGTGAGTGAGTATGGTTTTACGGCGCTTTTAGCAATATTCCAGCAATATCACAGCGGAGACACCAGGAATGGGCTTCACACATTGTACCCATGTGGGAAATCGAACCCGGGCCTTCAGCGTGACGAACGAACGCTTTGACCACTAGGCTACCCCACCGCCCCCGAAAACATCTTTCAACAACATCCAGATATGTATAAGGTGTCAGCAAGGTGGGTACCAGCAACCTTACTGTGCTAGATCCTCACACAGGATGCAATGCATCTAATATAAATGCATAATTATGGAGCTGTTTTTTATGTCTTCAGTTACACTCTTTTCATGCTTAGCCAACGTCAAAAAACATTCAAACAATATTTGTCTCCACTGACAACATGTAAGCTTGTCGTAAGTGGCGAATACAATGAATGACATTTTCAGATTGGGTTTGGTAGTCTAAGCGTACTCACTCGCTTACTCTCGCTCCCTCTCGGACACTCCTTTGCTCTTCAATCCGTCACTCATTCTGTCATTTCATCACTCATTCCTCCACTCACCCTTCACTAAGGTGGTTAATAGCGTACTCCCTCGCTCCCACTCCCTCCCTCATTCACTTACTCATTACCTCACTCACTCCTTTATCACTCATTGCTCCACTCTTCGCACAATCATGCCTTTACTCATCCTTCATTCACTGACACCTTCACTCACTCCTTCACTCACCCCTTCATTCAATTCTTTCCTCCATCACCCCTTCCTTCACTCACTCCTACACTCCTTCACTCAATCACTCCTTTACTCACCACTTCATTTACTCACTCCTTCACTCTTCCCGTTATTCACGCTTTCACCCAGGGGCGGTCGGGAAGCCTAGTGGTTAAGGCGTACGGTCGTCACGCCGAAGACCCGGGTTCGATTTCCGACATGGGTACAATGTGTCAAGCCCATTTCTGGTGTCCCCCGCCGTGATATAGCTGGAATATTGCTAAAAGCGGCGTAAAACCGCACTCACTCACTCACTCACTTCTCACAGTTCTTGTTTAGAAGCTGGAAAGCTGGATGGAAAGCTGAATAGTGGCAGACTCACTCACTTCTTCACTCACTACTTCACCCACTCCTTCATTCACTCACTCATTCACTTACTCATTCACTCACTCCTTCACTCAACCCTTCACTCCTTCAGTCACTCACTCCTCAAACCACCCCTTCATGCACTCACTCCTTCAATCAGCCCTTCATTCTTTCACTCAATCACTCCTTCACTCACCTCCTTCACTCCCTCCTTTTCATACTTCACACACCCTTCACTCCAATCACTCCTTCACTCACCCCCTTCACTCCTTCCTTCTCATACGTCTTCACACACCCTTCACTCAATCACTCCTTCACTCCCCTCCTTCACTCCCTCCTTCTCATACGTCTTCACACACCCTTCACTCAATCACTCCTTCACTCACCTCCTTCACTCCCTCCTTCTCATACGTCTTCACACACCCTTCACTCAATCACTCCTTCACTCCCTCCTTCACTCCTTCCTTCTCATACGTCTTCACACACCCTTCACTCAATCACTCCTTCACTCACCTCCTTCACTCCCTCCTTCTCATACGTCTTCACACACCCTTCACTCCAATCACTCCTTCACTCACCTCCTTCACTCCTTCCTTCTCATACGTCTTCACACACCCTTCACTCCATCACTCCTTCACTCACCTCCTTCACTCCTTCCTTCTCATACGTCTTCATACACCCTTCACTCAATCACTCCTTCACTCATCTCCTGCACTCCCTCCTTCTCATACGTCTTCACACATCCTTCACTCAATCACTCCTTCACTCACCTCCTTCACTCCTTCCTTCTCATACGTCTTCACACACCCTTCACTCCAATCACTCCTTCACTCACCTCCTTCAGTCCCTCCTTCTCATACGTCTTCACACACCCTTCACTCCAATCACTCCTTCACTCACCTCCTTCACTCCTTCCTTCTCATACGTCTTCACACACCCTTCACTCCAATCACTCCTTCACTCACCTCCTTCACTCCTTCCTTCTTATACGTCTTCACACACCCTTCACTCCAATCACTCCTTCACTCACCTCCTTCACTCCCTCCTTCTCATACGTCTTCACACACCCTTCACTCCAATCACTCCTTCACTCACCTCCTTCACTTCTTCCTTCTCATACGTCTTCACACACCCTAACTCTAATCACTCCTTCACTCACCTCCTTCACTCCTTCCTTCTTATACTTTTTCACTCACCCTAACTCCATTCACTCACTTCACTCAATCACTCCTTCACTCACTCCGTCACGCAATCACTCATTCACTCAATCACCCACTCCTTCAGTAACTTACTCAGAATTGTGTTTGAAAAGACAAACCAGAGCGACCGCCACCTTTAAGTGGAAGGTAGTAAGTTCACATCCGTTAATGTCGTGAGTCAACACTGGGATAAGATTCCTGTCGTTTATGCTTAATCTTCCTGAATGTTTAGAAGGCATAAGTGTTACTCATGCTTGTGACTGTGATCGACAGATTTGGGAATTTATACTATTCGCTCGTTTTATATCGAACAAATCAAATGTCTGCATTTCTTGATGTTTCTATTCTACTGCACTCCATGTTAGATGGGTATAACCACGGATATAGAACAATACATTGACATTCCTATTACCTTGATAACGCTTTTTTTTAAATGTACTTTTTATCATCATTATTTGACTATAAATTATAATCATCTTGCTTAATATTACAATGTACATGTATTTCTTGCCCTTTTGTTTCTCAAGTCGTTCTATAACTGATGTCTGGTACACGGATGTTCCGACACTGACAATGCTTTATGAAACCGTTAACTTCCAGACTGGTTCTTATTGTCCAACAATGCCGTCACGATGACTTTCATTCAGGCATTGGGGACACGGGTGACCAAGTCGTCTAAGGCGCCGCGATTCGCTGTGCAGAGTTGCGTCCCTTGGGCACGCCAGAAACCTATGATTGTGGGTTTGAATCCTGGTTCGCCCCGATTATGTTTCTAGGTTTGTCAGCACCATATCCGTGCTCGTGGGTTTCACCGAAGTGGTAAACGTCTGAGACCTGAATCACTTCGGTCTTTCCTCCCACATTAAGCTGATACGCTGCGATATAACTGGAATACTGTTAAAGGTGGCGTTAAACCCAACTCATTCATTCATGCAGGCATTCTCGTTTCGTGCGTTTATGTTCTTCAATAATAGAATCTTATGTCTTGAACAAATTGTTCCCGACATGGGTACAATGTGTGAAGCCCATTTCTGGTGTCCTCCGCAGTGATATTGCTGGAATATTGCTAAAAGCGGCGTAAAATCAAACTCACTCACTCACTCACTCCTCTTGGGACGGGCTTACGAATAATGGACCCTGCTGAGGTCAACAAACAACAAACAAACAAACAAATACAATCAATAGACACGTAGATGTTGCTTCTTGTTTTAATATTCAAGTCGAATATATCAGCGGTGTTACAATGTCCTCAAGGAAGTCAGTTTCACAGGGAAGGATGCAATACGACATGTTTCCTGCTTCGTGGTGTGACCTGGCGAGTCAACACATGGTCCCAGTTACAATGCAGTCGTCCGGCTGTCTGATATGTTTAGGTCATGCCCTTCATGGGCCTTCAGGACATGGGCCTTCAGGTCATGGTCCTTCAGGTCATGGGCCTGTGGGGTAGCCCAGAGTATGTAAACAAACTAAATCCCAACTCACTCACTCTACATATTTTACATTTGTACGTGCATCACTAGCAGTTTTATTGGGTGATATTGTCTTGCTTGATTTATATGTGTGAGTGTCCGATGTTTCCACGCAAATGGAAACGACGATCGTTTCAGGATTTTAAAGCTGACGCCGAGAAATGACCTCCTCCTAATTTTCTGTGAAAATAGCTTGTGAGTGTCTGTGTCTGTGAGTGATGTGTTTGCCTGAATCAACATGTGTTAAGGTATGTTTTGATTTGTGTGTATGATGCATACTTGTTGAACACGTGAGGGGTGGTTGAAAAGCCTAACTCTGAAGGCCTTGGTTCATGGAATGGTTGCTAGTTATTTTCAATCATAATCCCCTCTGAGGTCCACAGCGATGGTGGTGAGCCTGGAGGATAATGCGTGAGTGAGTATTGTTTTACGCCGCTTTTGGCAATATTCCAGCAATATCACGGCGGAGGACACCAGAAACTGGCTTGACACATTGTGTCCATGTTGGGAATCGAACCCGGGTCTTCGGCGTGACGAGCGAACGCTTTAACCACTAGGCTACCCGACCGCCCCTCTAGAGGATAATGAATACAAAGCCACAGTCATGTATTGTAGCGACGGTCTCATGACAGATGGTGAACCTGGAGCGTTTCTGATCAGGAGTCAGAAGCCTTGGAACCCAGCATGCGGAAACCTTTATAATGCTAACTTAATTCCTCAGAATGTTCCCAACTCTCTCATGAGAGATGACTTCTGTATTGGCTATGCCACGTGTGATGTGTCGTCAATCATCAATAATCAGATCATGTATTTTCTCAAAGTTTGCATTGGCGATGGTACTTGACGATGTTCCACTTGCACAAAGCGATCTTAGCGCTACGACTATCTTAAGTCCATGTTAGAGTATGGGAGTTACGATCATCGTAGCGCTAAGATCGCTTTATGCAAGTGGGCCCTGATCTTGGGTCATCTTCGAGGATAACTCATCTGACACCCGGTGCCCACCTTTTAACAATGACAAAGAAACCGTATCCCAAAAACACCATGTCCCAAAGGATGGCATTTAGCCACTTTTGTCCATTCTCATCATCAGAGTGAATGAGTGAGTTGGGTTTAACGTCGCTTTTAACAGTATTCCAGCTATATCGCGGCGTGTCAGCTTATTGAGGGAGGAAAGTCCGAAGTGATGCGGGTTTCAGGCGTTTACCACTTCGGTGAAACCCACGAGCACAGGTATGGTGCTGACAAACCTAGATAATAATATATAAATATAAATATATATATATATATATATATATATATATATATATATATATATATATATATATATATATATATATATATATATATATTATAAGATAGGATAAGATAATCGGGGCGAACCGGGATTCGAACCCACAATCATAGGTTTCTGGCGTGCCCAAGGGACGCAACTCTGCACAGCGAATCGCGGCGCCTTAGACGACTAGGCCACCCGTGCCCCCTTCTCATCATCAGAGAATACCTCTGATGCCTGCCTGTGTATTGGGACACAATGCAGCCAGGAAGCATGTAAACTATTGTACTTTGAGGTAAACTTTGAGGGTGTATCATACATCCTTCGTATTTAGGTTCAGAACATTTGAGCCATCATTCGTCGTATTTAAGCACTTAAACATGGGATGATTGATGTGCGTGTTGGGGCAACTGTACGTGAACCAATTTCAGTCAGTATTCAGTCTTTAATTTTCTGGCCGGACGCCTGACGTGAAACAACTGTTTCGGTTTACATGCTCACGGATAGTGCAATGAAATAGATATCTGAAGACGACGTCAGCATCTAGAATATTACTGATAGAAGGAAATGAAACACTTGTGACAACATAATCTAGAGGAAGGAAAACGTGCTATTCTGACAAGGCTGTTCATAATTGTATCCATCCATATATTTTCGAAACGTACATGTTATAATGGGTACGTTCATATAGTCGATCGGTCGTGAAAATTAAGCATGTCACTCTTAAGTCGAAGGTGATATATTTATTAAAGCAGTATACAATATCTGAAACTTACTTGCTTAAATGTATATAACCATCATTGAAACGCATAATCAGCATTTATCGAATCGCCTTATATTGATCTAGCCCATCAGCCGTATAGCCACACACGCTCTAGATGTATTGTATTAGCACTAAAGATGACACACCTGTGCAATTGGCAGGAGTTTGTTTCTGAAAAGAACTAGAACCTTAAAACTGATCTTCCATCTTGTTATACTAGTTCAGTTTCACATGTTTCTCTGTTACATCATAGTCGTTGCTGACTTTTTCAGTGGGTGTCGCTTGTTTCAGATGATCATAGGCATTTTCATCTTGAATGTCACCCGCTACCTGCAAGGATTTCTCTGCTGAGGCTGTAGTGTCATAATTTCCAGCTGGGGGACTCCTAGATAATCCATCCCGCATATGGTTGTAGTCATCTTCTTTGTTTGATCCTTCATTGCTTCTGAAGGGATGTTCCCCAGATTCGAGAATGAAATATGCATTCGAATTTATCACATCATTGGCAGTTACATAATCATAATTACTCGCAAGATGTTGCCGCAAGTCGTCAATTTCATCATAGTTGCCCTGTTGAGCACTGTCCGCTGGCGGGTATGATGTGTTTGCTTGTCCATCTGGGGTTGTCTTCCTTGGGGTTCTTCGGATAGGCTTTTTATCATTTCTAAAGACATATGAAACAACGCATACATTAAAAAATATCAAAAGAAATGCTTAAACCTGTTAACGTACAATGTGCATTTGAATGTAGATTTCATTTTTGAACACCGTCGTCATGCCATGTACTAAATTTATAATCGGTGAACATAATTGAAGACCATCATGATCCACTTAAGCTGTGCCTATATTGTAATCACATGACTCTTGTTTGAACAGGGTTACATTCAAAGCCATTATAAAGCTTTAAAGAAGCGTTATGTTAGACATCAAGTGGACGTTTACAAATTTGACTCATCAGTGATCATGATGATGTCCGATGCAATTCCCTATGTTGACTTGTAGCATATGTTCGTATTTCTTTTGCTGGAGACATTCGACATCGGATACTCACCGTTTCGCGAAACATTAATAGTGATTCCTTGCTTTCTAGTCGGAATCGTACAAGGGACTCTTTCAGCAGAGATTTCTTATGATTATTGAAATGGTTGTGTCTCTTCTATTTACCTGTTTCTCCAAAACCATATAAATATGACAACTGCTGCTACACATAGAAGTATGCCCACAACAGCTCCTGAAATAACACTGGTTGTGTCGGGGTTGGAGTTGGGGTCTGTAATTAGAACAAAAATCATTATTACTCAGAATAATATCAGACTGTCTTTACTATTAAAACATTTAAACTACTTGTAAATACTAGTGCCTGCCTATATGTTTTTCTTTTTGTGCAAGGCAGGGACTATATATATGTATATATGTATACACCTTCCATGTCTGTTGTATCGTACTCTAGATTTGTGTTATCAGTTTTGTGATCCGGCCTTTGTGTGGCGAGTGAATGTTTTAGCCGCTGTAAGCAATGTTCCAGTCGGTAAATAACATGGCAAACATGGGATTAAAACCATGAGCAGCAATCCACGCCATAGGGGCACAATGACACGCAAACAGACTGATTACAAAGACTGATCCCCTCAATCCAATTTATCGCCCCTTACAACAAGCAACACAACTTTGGGGATATATCCTAATCGAGGAATCCGAGAAAGTGTATAAGAACGCGACAGTATTCTATCTTGACAAATAGTGGATAGTATTTGCTTGTTGTTTATCACCACACTAGGCACTATTCCAGCTATATGACGGCGTAAAGCTTTAAAGGATGTTATGTAAATAACATGGAAAACAGGTGATTGAAACCATGAGCAACAATATTAATCCACACCAAAGGGGCATGATGACACGCAAACAACCTGGTCACAAAGTCTGTTCCCTAAATCCAATTTATTTAAAACAAGTAGACTGTAACGTGACTGCTGTGTGTGGTGTATATTCATCTGTATACTAACTTTTTACATATAGTTATCAATATGTTACTTTTAAATGTGCTAGTATAAGTGTAATTACCTGGCGTGTTTGGACGCACAGTACCTCTCCCCTCCGTCACCCTGGTGGTACATGTAATTGTGGACACAATGAGGGCGTTAACTAACAAGGGCCATTGTACCTGGGGAACATACGTTCAGTTGACATGCTTCAACTGAAATACTGCTCAAAGGGTTTTACTCACTAATTCACTGAGGTAAGTTGTTGTAATATCGAGATACATGTATTTGATACCATCATATATATTTCGTATGTTATATCAATATGTAATATTTCGTTGCTATCAAAAGACAAGGGCTGCTTAAATGTTAATATAGCAATCATTTGGGTGAAGCTATGATGTGATGGATTAACAGGGGCTAGAACAACGACCCGAGTGAGAGGGCATGCCATGCAAATCCAAGTGTGATTTCATGATATTGATAGAACCAGTCACTCTAAAACATCAGACTATATGACTAAAACGTACACACCGACAAACATTATGACTCGTCATGCTTCAAAAGAAGGCAAACCGTACTCACGAGGTCTTCTTGTCAAACCTTTCATATTACAGCTGATAAAGAAAGTGCTGATAGCTGAAATATACATGCACTACTTTAAATAACAGTACAGAATCGGCTATACTCACTATTTGACTGTCCTGGTCTTAGTTTATTCACATTGCATTTGCATTTCGTTACGAGACAGCATATGATGAGAAACAGAATCATATTCATTTGGATCTTGTGCTCTTCAAAAATTGTTTGCGCATACGTTGCAATAAAATGGTTGTTCCAGGTGAAGATATTCATGCAGAAGAATGTTTACCGTAAGGATAGCATGACTTTAGCGGATACTTACACTTGATTCGAAGCCAGACAATTGTATGCGTTCCTTGTTGGACGTCGAGTGTTATAAATACACATGCTTGTTTTTTTTGGAGCTGTACACCATCACATGCATGTTTTATCTGGAGCTGTCTGTAGTGCTGTATCTCGACGCAGTCATACGTGCGTGCTACAATGGTCAGGCGGGAACAATTTTGACTTTCATCCACGGGACCAAGACGTATATCAAGAGCGGTAATGTTTACAGGCATTAGTGACTGAATCATACATGTGTATTTATAATCTTTCATCTTAGCTAGATGAGTTGAGCCACTTTGCTTGTAGACAACTGTGATGTCAGAAGCATTCTGTCCTGAGGCTGTACTGATGTTTACAATGGAATCTCCTGTAACATATTGAATGTTGAACGATAAAGTAGATCAAACTGCAAACAGGCTGGTTAAACGAACTTGTGCTTGTTTCTAACAACATATTTTCAAAACTAGTAGTTGGAGGATTATGTTTTTGTCTGTTATACATCTGTTGAAAACCTGATTCTAATGTACAACCTGGCCTCTTTGGCCAGTGCTCCTGAAGCGAAAAAAGGGAGGTATAGCCACGAAGCCACAGTCAATTTGATTCCTGGCGAATCTGACACACTACAAATGAAATAAGCAAAATATAGGAACCTGGTGCACACAGGAATTGCTGTTAAAACAATCATTTCTTAGAAAGGATTACGGGCAGGAGCAATGTTAGCGGCCAATTGGTGATGAGAAGCAAGAAATATATTTTAACAAGCCTTGTGAAGGTCTAACAAATCCAGAACAAATATGACTCACACAAGGTACATTTCTGTAGACTTAACGAGATGCATCTCCCACATACTTGAACACGGAAGTAGTTACACTTTCGAGAGAATCCCATACTTAGATGTGGCGTTTTACGAGAAATACCAAATAGTTTTGATATTGTGTTTCTTGGATTACAACTCATGAATATTAATATGTCATTTTATTACGTTTGTTGTTATTATGATGATTATTCACTAACTCCCCTTGGCAAAATTACCATCAATACATCGATATTCCAAAACAGAAAAAAACAACAACGTTTCTCCTTCCGACTCGGTCCATGAATATGACATGTTGTATGTGTTGAAAAGTTGATGAAGATGGACGTCATTTCTGAATTGATAAACGTGTAATGTTATTATTATAATGTAATGTAACGTTATTACTAAATTGTTGAGAGTCGAGAAAAACACACTTACTTTCAAAACACTGATATTTGACAATAGAGAATGTAAGAGCTGCACTACGCCGGGGAGCAGGATACACACACTGAGTCTCTGTAGAGCATTTGTTGTAGAGGGAGACCAGTTCAGTGTTGTTGAACCTGTTCATGTTACTTCCATGTTCTGTCACATTGTCTGGGTTCACTGTGCAACTGGAGAGACCTGCACCACACTCTGTATTGCCAGTGTAGTAGGCGTCATAGATGGCGATCTTCTGGGTGCTGTTGCAGCTGATGTCATGTTTAGTACAGGGAAGGCCAAAAGTACCATAACATCCTTTACTTGTCTGTGTCGAGATCTCTACATGAAACAATATTCAAGCTTTTATCAATTTCACAAAGTTGTATTCGAGGTTTATCAGAGCAACGGGTAGTTTGGTCAGTTAGCTAACATGTTTGCCATTAGTTCCGATTAATACCAATTTAATCATAATTCGTAATTGAAAGACAAATACCATCACAACTGATGGTAGTTCAATAAACAAAAAATAACATGATACTGGATCACTTTCCAAATTACTACTACATTGTAAATAATCGTGACAGTGACCTCTTGCCAAAGGAATATATTCATATATATGAGGTGAGAATTTAATCAACTCACGTCGATGTCATCAGATATTTCACACTCGTATTTTATCATGAGCTAATTCCGATTTTAAAACGCAAATGGTCAGGGACAGGCAATTGGCACGATTACAATTCCTGCCTCACATGGATTGACCTGCTTATCTTACAATCACTAGCAAATTGTAATAAAAGTACGAAATAGAGTATACATCAACACGCCACATGCACGTACACATCTTCATGAACATTTTTGAAAGATAACTCATTGCGAATCACATCAGTATGAACAGTGAGGCTGTAGTTGGTATATGTCACAATAATATTGAACGAATGAAAGTGTGGTTAACTGTTTTACGTACATTCGAAGCATTTGTTATTAACATTGTAAATATTTTGTTAAATAGTTGCTTTAAAGTCGTGGTTTTGAAGCACTTACCCATAGGTACCACACCAAGAACAGGAAGACACAGTGCCACGCATACGGCACTCCAGTGGTTGAGTGTTGTGACTGACATGATCAGCTGTTGAGTTATGCTCGTGTTTGTTACATTCACGCTTATGCCCATATGGATGTTATATATATATATATATATATATAGATGAACCAGGATGTGGAACTGTCGTTCTAATGTAGTAGCATGTCGACTGGGTTTCCTGATATGAGTTGTACATGTAATGAGACTAGTTCAATTTGCAACCACATGTACCTCCTTATTTGTTTGATACTGTGGTCTTCCAAATTCCTCATGTCAGTGTTCAAATGTGTACCTTTACCATAAATTATGTGTCGTCTTGAAGATTGACATCATTTGTCTTTTTTTTATTAAAATTAAATTGTCAAATGTATGCCAGGGGGACATACTTCGTTCATCCTATACAATGCACTTGGTCCCGTGGTATGCGCCAGCAACTTGTGCTTGTCGTTCGAGGAGACCTAAAGGATCGCGTGGTCCGGCTCAGTCACTTGATCTCGTACCCCGACAACGTAAGTCATTGATCATTTTATCAGTCAGTGTTTTGACTGGTCGTGACTCGGTTATTTAGAAGCCGCCGTCAGATAGCTTGTGTATTGCTGATTGCAGCGTTCAACAAACAATAAGTGTTGATAAGTTTTCTCCTGACTGGAAGAGAAACTGAAGGAGTTTGGATATCTTGATATTCAGTAGAACTATAATGATGTTCAGTGATTTACGATTACACCTTTCACGGTCTACCAGCTGATATATTTAGTCGTCTCTTACAAGCAGTATAAGGTGTAAGAAACCTAATGTAACCCAGAATCCATGGGTACAATGTGTGGAGGCCATTTATGGTTTTCCCCTCCGTGATATTGCTGGAATATTATTACAGGCGACGTAAAGTCATACTCACTCAGTCATCCCCACTGGGGACAGATCTAAAAGATGTGGTCACAACGACAAAACTAACAAATGTGACATTAAACTACAACATTGACTGGACAAAATGAATTTAAGTGTCCAAGACAAGGAATACACATTTCCCAGAGAGAACACGTGTTGTTAGATAATACCATAGATGTAGCAGGCTGTCGTGTAGACATTGTAGATGCTTCCGGCAGACCAGGACATGCCCTCTCACCACATCATTTTGTGACTGAGTATTTTGGGAATTCTACTTGGAACATTGTTACTCCTGCTTGTGTTATAATGCGTAATAGATCATACTTATTATTTGTCGTCAAACTGTACACAAATGTCAATTGATCTAGAATGGACAAAATGCTTGTATTCACGTTATATCATGTTGGTTTGTTACTTTGTTGTTTAACGCCGCAATAGTCCTGCTATATGACGGCGGGCTGTAAATAATCAAGTCCGGAACAGACACTCCAGTGATTGACATAATCAGCATCGATCAACGCAATTGGAATACGATGACATGCATCAACCAAGTCAGCGAGCCTGACCAGCCGATCCCGTAAGTCGCCTCTTACGACTAGCATAGTGGCCTTTTACGGCAAGCATGGATTGCTGAAGACCTATTCTACCCTGGATCTTCACGGGCCCGATTATTAAGGATCTGCCGTCATGTTGAAATCGCTGATCATTACATCATCAATCGTTACATCATGTATACCTAGTTAATGTTTGAAGTGAATGGTACTGAGCGATCCAGGTATGAAGTGAGTGAGTGAGTGAGTGAGTATGGTTTTACGCCGCTTTTAGCAATATTTCAGCAATATCACGGCGGGGGACACCAGAAATGGGCTTCACACATTGTACCCATGTCGGGAATCGAACCCGGGTCTTCTGCGTGACGAGCGAACACTTTAACCACTAGGCTACCCGACCGCCCCCCAGGTATGAAGATCAAAGTCATGTAGTATCAGTACATAATATGATTATGATTTATATTATTATTATTAAAAATAATGAAAACTATCTAAATATAATCGCGCTACAGTTTGACCACGTACACAAGTGTTATTGTAGAATAATTGTGTGTAAGTGTTTATATAATCAAAGCATTAGTTAAATCATTATATACACGTTTACGTGCAATATGGCTTAATATCTCTCATACCTTAGAACATCACTTCCTAACGAATGCGACTCCGAATGGCCTGAGGATACTGGTTTCAGCTGAATGTGGGATATTTCAGGCAATGGTTCTTAATGACTGACTTCCTTTATTTTACACTAAAATGAGGGTTTCATTAGGAAACGGGTTTTGTTCGCGATTGTAACGAGAATCAAAGGCGGTTACATAACGAATGGAGTCATATTACATTTTAATGACTAAAATCGCCATTGTGCCAATTTCAAATACGATCAGTTATGCCACAGATTCCCCACACCACTTGAATCGTTTCAATAGTAAATAGTCTGCAATGAACTGATGTATATCAACTAATGTTGTGAGGCATCAACTTAATGCTCGGGCAGAGAACAGAAGAATCTCCGAGTGAGAAATTATTGTGTTACGTCCCAGTCAGCATTATCTCAATAGACCCCAGCAACATCACACATATGGCACAGCAACATCACACCAATAGCACAGCAACATCACACCAATAGCACAGCAACATCACAACAATAGCACAGAAACATCACACCAATAGCACAGAAACATCACATCAATATGACATCAATATTACATCAATATCCAAGCAACTTCACGAATATATCACGACAATATCATGGCAATATCACAGCATTATCTCTGCAATATCACGGCATTATCACAGCAATATCTCAGCATTATCTTGGCAATATGACATCAATTTCACAGCATTATCTCTGCATTATCAAAGCAAAATCACAGAAATGTCACAGCAACATCTCTGCAATATGACATCAAAATCACAGCATTATCTCTACAGCATGACACTAATATCACAACATTATCACTGCAATATCACAGCAACATCACAACATTATCTCAGCAGTATCACAACATTATCTCTGCAATATCACAGCAATATCACAACATTATCTCTGCAATATCACAGCAATATTACAACATTATCTCTGCAATATCACAGCAATATCACAACATTATCTCTGCAATATCACAGCAATATCACAACATTATCACTGCAATATCACAGCAATATCACAACATTATCACTGCAATATCACAGCAATATCACAACATTATCTCTGCAATATCACAGCAATATCACAACATTATCTCTGCAATATCACAGCAATATCACAACATTATCTCTGCAATATCTCAACAATATCACATTATCTCTGTAATATCACATCAATATCACAACATTATCACTGCAATATCACAGCAATATCACGACAGCCCTGTAAATAATTGAGTTTGGCAAACAACGTGTAGAGCAACGAGACACGACTGTGGGATACAATGACACAGTTCTATGACAATTCGATCCTTTTTGAGGTCGGTCCTGCGAGGACTATTGAGAACAGGTGATCTTGGGTCCATAGGGATCACTCTTCATCGGAGTGGCGTTGGCGTAGCCTAGTGGTTAAAGCGTTCGCTCGTCATGCCGAAGCCCCGGGTTCGATTCCCACATGGGTACAATGTATGAAGCCCATTTCCGGTGTCCCCTGTCGTGATATTGCTGGAATATTGCCAACAGCGGCGTAAAACCAAACTCACTCATTCACTCACTCGTCATCGGAATCTTACTCTATCAAATTAAGTTCGGAGCAAACTAATCATCAGTTTTAAATAGTCCAGGATGGACAGTATGTTGGCCCACTTGTGTCACAACAACTATGCAAATATAACCTCCCTATTTCTTCCAGCCACATAAACTATTCCGTTGACACATGGGTTAGGCTGTGTACGGCTATTTTGTATCCACAAACAGCTTCCAGGGGAAATGTAACTTGGGTGAGATCGATGAAATTGCACCACACCACTGTGAGAATCATTGTGACGTCACCAGGTACGTCACAATCAAATGACATCACTAATCTCTCTGTCACGGGTTATCAGTGTTCACAAACTGAAAAGGATTTTGGATGACAAATATAATTTCACCCTCGTGTCTCTCGATAAAATATACCAACACCAGTTGATAACATTCGGCAAGCCTTGGAGTTCTAGACTTTTATCGAATCATGCTGATATATTTGATAGTGAAAGACATTCGGGTGCTATTCACTATATATCGCTCCGTATAATAAACGTCAGTTGCCGTGGACCGACTCTTAACCATGTTAGGTCACTGTACCATACCGTAAATACACTTTAAATCATACTGGCAGACAACATGTCCTATCATGAGATTCACATATTATACAGACCTTTAAATTTTATACCTTGATTCCGATGTCAGCCAATCGTATGCGAGTAACCAGACCCCTAATAATGCAAATGATGATTAAGTGATCAGCAGAAGTGTGACGATGCTAAAAGTATGAGTTGAGGCATGGAATGCTTAAACATATCTTCATACCTATTTTACAGGAAAACAATTGTGTAATATGTTACAGTATTGCCATACTCATCAACAACTTTCACAACGCCGCTTTTAATATTCTGATACAATTTTATTCACAAAAAATATTAACAATGTTACTCAGTATAATTTTTTTGTATTTATCCACGCAAATTAGAAGAATATGTTGTGTGATTTATAGACTGGTTCAACCTACATCTAACCGCAGCAACCGGCTCAACAACAGTTTCACGAAAGCGGCAATATTGGGTTCATTTTGCATTGAAATACCAAATGATGTGACAGATTTAGGTGGGTTTAAGGACAATTTGCACATTATTTCAAGGTGTTTTAGTTGAATGTAGGGGGATGGCAAGAGTCTCAGACGTTTACCCTGCTGGTGAAACCTATGAGCACCATAATCAAGAGATCATAATCAGGGGCATCGGGTATTCGAGCCCACTTTCATAAGATACGTACTTCTTCAAGGACTGAAAGACGAACCGCAAATTTTCGAGGCAAACGTTTCTCTATTCTATTCTATTCTATACGTATATTAATAAACTCTATAATTTTTCTATATTTTTCTATATTCTATATTGTGAATAGTAGCAATTGAAACGTTACATCTACAGATACAAATGCGATCGTCACAAAATATATCACGTT